AAAAAAACGATATTTTTCCATAAATGGAAAAATTCGAGATTCTAACTTAAATGGAAACTCCTAATATTCAGGATCGTCCTCCAACAAACGGAATCAAAATCCGAATTTTATTCAATGAGATATTACCAAAATAAAAATTACCATAAACGGCAAAAACGCGTGATCGAGAGCCTAAACGATGGAATCTGTCCGAAATCCGACGTACGTCATGGTCAAAGGCCATGAGTTGTGATCCTTGACCCGTTTCCACTCAAATTAGACTATTAATTCGTCAAAAACGGACAAACCCAAAGTTATCATGAAATCATTATTTTGCCTTGTGATCCCACTTCATCATAAATTCTAACTCCTTATGCACTTCATCACTAAGCATATCAGAATTACAGTGAAGATGTCTGATTCTATGGAAAGAAACGAATTCTCGTTATTTTCCATTTCAAACATCCTTCAGTTCTCATTTTTGCATCTGATGCAGATTGATCCCTCCTATAGACCTAGCTTAATGGAGCAAGATAGTAGCGGATCAGGTGCCTTACCATTTGACCATTTGCTGGGTCAGACTTGGTTGTGAACTGTGGATATTAACTGGAAAACTTTTCCAGTTTGCTGCTGTATATCTGTCTAAGTAACTACTAAACTGATGGACCTCTCATCTATCTTTGTAGGTGAAATTCTTTCTGATTAAAATTATTCAGCTCTGGTTTCAATTTCTACAATTCATGTGTACGTACACAGGCACCCATTATATTCAATTCACAGAAGCAAATCTCTTCACTGGCAATACTAATTCCAATTCACAGAGGCAGGCCAGGGCAATACTATATTCAAATCACATTTCACAATGCAATTCAAAAATTACAGGGCAATACCATATTACTATTTCCAGAAATTGTTCAATTCATACTTCACAAATCACGGAGTAACAAAACAACTCACAGACGTCACAGAGGCAGCAATACTGGAAGTCTGGTTGAAGGCCCTGTTCAAAGGATGAACTATAAAAAAAGTCCGAGTTTAGGTAAGATCCCAATAAAGATTTGTTTAAATTAGTTTGTTATAGTGAGATCTTTATATGTTTTATGGAAACATCATAAACCCGAATGGTGTGCTAAGATTTTGTTGCATATTCTCTATTGTAGTGAGAGAAAAATCGTCGTGGCAAACATTTTGCCTTTACGTGCTGAGATGGATAATGAAACTGCTAGATTGGAGTTTCACCTTGAACTAGGAGTTTTATACTTGGGACGGTTTTGTCACCCGAAAATCCATTTCACCTTGAATTACAAATGGGGACGTGGGATGTCTCCAAGTTGAAGTAGAAGCCAATGAACAAGAAGAAATTGCAATATTTTATGAATATTAGAATTTTAGTTAATTTTAAAAAATATAAAAAGGTCCAAAGGAATTTAATGAAAAATTAATATTAGTGAATAAATTTAGAGTGATATATTTTTACTTAATTTTATATATGCCTATTTAAGTAAATTTGCATAAAATTAAAATATAATAAAAAATTCTTTTTAAAAGTGGATATGTACATATAATTTTTGTGGATGTGAAACGGGAATCTAGCAGGTTTATAGGGCCTACCAATCTCTCTGTGTCCTCCATAAAGAAACAAAGAATTCCATTTCGAAGTTGGAAAGAGGATCGGAAAGATAACGTCGAGATATTGCCAAGAACGAGAAGACTTGCACTAAAGTTTCATGCATTTTTTATGCATTGACGTCATGTGTAAGCCACATAAGAAATAAGAAAGCCTTGTAAGGATAAGGCTGCTATGTCACTATGTCAAGTTGCGTGTGGGGCGTCGTGCACAAACCACATATAGTTCGTTAGAGCCAAGGTGCTTTGTCGAACTATCTA